CCCCCCCCCCCCCAAAAAAAAAAATAATTCCTAAGAAACACCCCAATGAAAACTGTCCACTACGAAAAACACTTCTAGTGTTATATTGTTCTAGGGCAACGCTACACTTTTTATCTAACCCTCCTCTCCCGATAAACAGTGTAAATAAAGAGAAATGCAGTTGAAGTTTAATTATATGAAAATATAAAATAATTAAGACCAGGTGTGATACTCACGTGTGGTATTGAGCTTGAAGGAAATTGAACTCTTCCTTGATCCGATCGCATGATTCGCCAATAGTAAACTTGAACGGCTGCCCCGGTTGCGGTGGGCCCTGTGACAATAGGAAAAAACAAATCAAAAATTGTGTCACAGGTAATATATTCCGATACGCGTAGCAATATCGTTGATAATGGCAACGTTCGCACGGGTGCTAAATTTCATAAGGCTACCGTATTACGTACCGGGACAAAAAAAAAAAAAAATCAAACATAGTAATGCAATAACACATAAAAATCATTCGACACGGCCGGAAATTGTGGTGGCCAACGCGGCACGACGACGACAAATCTAAACGGTCCAATAACCCTAAGTAAAACATTGTAGTGTTGTTCTAATATGGTAAATAAAATTTTTTACGCACACACCAACTGGCAGTACCCAAGACATTTTACTTGTATTGCATAAAAATGAGTTTTTCTACCTATTGGCTTGTTCCGAATAATAAATAATAGCGCCGAGTCGACAGTGTAGCAATGAAATGTAGCAACAATGTCAACCACTCAATTTTAAATACGATACGGATAACATTTTTATTATTCCATTTTTTTTTTTTTCTTTTCTGTGTAAAATACTATTACGATTACAAAAATATATAAATTGGGCTGGCTTACACCATCGAGCGTAGTTATGTTATAATATTGTCATTATATATATTTTATTACATACATTATGTAGGACGCACGATATTAACAACGATATCGAATAAAGATCTTTGTAGCTTCTACACATAGTGATAAAAATGTCATATTATTATTATTAATAACGTACACACAAAATTAGACACTTGTAACAATAAAAATATATTAAAATATACATGTATATTTTCATGATAAATATACAACAAGTAAAACAGTAAGAAACGAAGTTATTCACCGCCCAATTTTGATTGGACTAAAGATAATTGTTTTGAAAATGTATATAAATGTAAATAAAAATAAGCTGATCATTAGAAATAAAGAATAAGGAAACCCAATTACAAACGAAAAAATAATATATATTTAATACAATAATAATAATATGTTATAACAACAATAAACTTAATATTATTACCACCATCTCTTAAATGTATCACAGAACACGTATAATAAACGAATAAGAGTTAAGCAAATCAAACAACCCGTAATAGTATCAGTATAAGGATAGTAAAAACAGACAAGTATATAAATATGACAAAACATGAAAAGATCAGGCAACAGAAAATAATTTGTTGCGCGTGTTATATTAATTGAGATAAGACATAGGAATAATGTTCATGACTAGAAAGAGGAAGGTGGAAGAAGAAAAATTGATATTACTTATCAAGTCGAAAATGTCCTTCACCGTAGTCGAGTCAATGTCATGTGTTTGAGCACCATCATTACTTAGAATATTTTTTATTATCTTAAACGGTGTGTTTGTGCTGGTGTTTTGAGTGACCAGCATGGTGATGTCCGTGGGAAGCTTTTCCGTGGTGTTCATGAGCATGTTCTGCTCCTCCGTTATGTTCATGTCCGTGTCCGAATTTACCGCCATGGTGATGGCTGTGTGCTGCACTGCCGTGATGTTGATGTCCGTGTCCGAATTTACCACCGTGGTGATGCCCGTGTCCGAATTCTCCGCCATGATGATGTGCGTGTTCAGCGCTTCCCTTGTGTTGATGTCCGTGACCGAATTCACCACCGTGTTTGTGACCATGTCCGAAATCTCCGCCGTGGTGATGTTTGTGTGCAGCGCTACCGTGATGTTTGTGTCCATGCCCGAATTCTCCACCATGGTGATGTTTGTGATCGGCGACACCGTGGTGAGCGTGTTTGTGTTCAGCACTTCCGTGATGTTCGTGTCCGTGTCCAAATTCACCACCGTGGTGATGTTTATGAGCGGCGCTTCCGTGATGTTCGTGTCCGTGACCGAATTTACCACCATGATGATGCCCATGTCCGAATTCTCCTCCGTGGTGATGTTTATGTTCAGCTACGCCATGATGCTGATGTCCGTGTCCGAATTCACCGCCATGATGATGTTTGTGATCAGCGCTACCGTGGTGAGCGTGTTTGTGTTCAGCACTTCCGTGATGTTCGTGTCCGTGACCGAATTTACCACCATGTTGATGCCCATGTCCGAATTCTCCACCGTGGTGATGTTTATGTTCAGCTACACCATGATGTTGATGTCCATGTCCAAATTCACCGGCGTGTTTATGTCCGTGTCCGAATTCACCACCGTGGTGATGGGAGTGTTCAGCACTACCGTGATGTTTGTGTCCGTGCCCGAATTCTCCACCATGGTGATGTTTATGTTCAGCGACACCGTGATGTTCGTGCCCGTGTCCGAACTCACCACCATGATGGTGACCATGACCAAATTCACCACCATGGTGATGGGCATGTTCGGCACTTCCTTTGTGGTGATGTTCATGATGGGCCTCTCCGTCATGTTTGTGGGCATGTGCTACATCTCCAGTGTGGTAATGGGTGTGCTTGATAACTCTAAAGAACACAATGTAATTATACATGAGGTTTGACTGCCGTTTATCTGAATTGAATGCGCAATTCACACGACACTTACCCTTCTGCTACTGCGTTATCGGCTAATTCGGCAGTCGTTACAGATGAAGTATAGTATAGAGCCAAAAAGGCGAGTGAAATCTGTAAAACATTGGATTAAACGACCATGTGTATTTTTATTGTCGTGTTACCGAGAGAGCCGCCTGTCGAAAGTTGTATATAAACAGCACAGGCATAAAACAGTCTCAAAATATAAAACAGAATGTCGATAAAATAAGAAATTCTCCCGCCAAAAACTCGTAAAACCTCAAACAAATTGTTTGAAAACTATTAAAAAGCTAACTCTACTTATGTTTCATAAAATTTTATAAGTTGTTTTGTATTTTTTTTTTTTTCGTTTAACGACGTAGACCAGTACTTTACGATCGGTAATAAGGCGGAGGAAGAACATGGTCCTGTTTCCGAGTTATGTTCTCAGGTTTTAGATAATAAACAAAAGTGAAAAAAGACCAAGCTGTTTGCACGGACAACACTCGGTAGTTGGCCAGGTCGAAAATATACGAGAGCAAACAGCAGTTTAACGGGCGTAGGCCATAATAATAAAAATTTATTTGAACCGTAATAAAAAAATAAACGTTTAAACACACTGTTGTTGTGAGCTTTGGTGGCGACCCGAATTGGTATTCACTTAAAAATCGCGATTTAACTCGTAAAAATTTACCACCCCTTCGAGGGCTGCATAAAACACACAGCTGAAATGAAAAAAATATATTATAAAAAGTTTATGGACTTCGAGAATGTTGAATGCGCTGTAAACTGTAAACCCGACGACGGCACTGGCGATTTTGATTTTATAAAATATACGAGTACTTACCAAAGGAGTTATGGAACCCATTTTTTGGCACGTTATTGTTATTGTTGTAGTAAACACAAACGAAGATTGATATTAGTAAGGCAGTTGTCTGATGTTTATATATGAATTTTAAATACGGTGGTGGGAAAACTGCCTGGAAAATCGGGTGCACATATCCACCTCCACCTACATCCACCGGCGACTGTACCTAGTTCGCATACTCCTTTCACGGGAATTGTGAAACATTCTGAGACCTCGCAGGTGCGGAAAATCATTTTACACATGTACTGGTCCAATACGTTTGATTTTTCTTTAAGGTTACGATAATATAATGGTGGCGGTTGCCGCCGTCAACCTATTCCGTCACAATCGAATAAAAAATCACACAAAGGAAAAAACACGTGACGCATTTAAAATAATACCGCTTGCTAGCGAGAAATAGCCCGTGAAGCGATTTTCGCAACCCCCTAGGATACTGTTAAACGTGCAGTAGTACAATAATAAATGTGTCTCACCACCCTAGCAATCGTGTAAAAACCGTGAAAAAACGCAACAAAAATTGCAAGGTCAACGCAAGCAACGTCACTGTTTAATAAACTGATCAACATAACTATAATTAAAATTGTAAGACATCACACACACACAGTGTAACACTAGCTCAAAATGATTAAAAAATAAAAATCACTGGAAAAAGTTCAACGGCCTACAAGCTCTATAAAAAATACTATGTAGTTGTCAAAACTATCCATAAAACGATGACATACGACAAACTTGGATATTTTCTCATTTAAGATTTATCTGTGTTTTCATCCTGATAAATTTAACAAGACAGCGTCAATTTTTTGAAATGAGATAGTTTTATTATACATTTTATTTAGAATATTCTCACTTTACTATAAGAGTAAAAAATATTAATTAATCAAAGATATCATTTTTAATAAATATTAGATTTATGATTTCCCAGAAACATTACTACCTAACTATTGAAGGATTAATATAATTAGCCAACTTAGTTTTATCAATTTGTAATAAATCGTTAAACATTAGATAAATAATTCTTATTAAATAATAAATAGAATAATTAAAAATAATAATTGGAAGCAAGAAAGGTTTTCAATGTATTACATAACTGTGATTACATAAATAATTTTTTTTTTAATGAATCTATTATAGCGTTTTAATTTAACTGACTAATAACGTATGTGATATATTTTAAAAAAATCAGAAAATTTTAGAAAACTTCAAAAGGATCTTTGGTTATTTTAACTAGAATAAATGTGTCAGAAAAGCTTATTCGCGAGGAACATAACTATTGGTTAGGTTAACTGGTCGAATCAAAACAAGTGTTCGTGTGTGTCATTTATTTTAAACATTCTGGAAAACAAGTTGAAACAAAAAAGTATAATTAGTAAATTACAATAGTAGTTTTGGTTTAACGAACAAGTTCGTCTCTTATTTGCACTTAGTCACGGTTTACTTTCGTCAAAAGCTATGTTGTCTAACACAACATTAATATGATTGTAAGTGCAGTCAATAACGATTATTTTTGTAGCACGTCTAAGCACGCTATAAACTCGTTGTTAACGCTAATTATTCGCATATGTGTTCAAGTGGCGAGGTTAACACAAAGAAAAAAAAAATAATAATAAATTAGTAAATTGTTGGTTGCGGAAAAAATAAATTTTGTGTTATTAAACCGATGAAATTTCACAAATTTAACTGATATGCATTACAAAATTGTTTGCGACAGGAGTTGCGTGACGTATGAGTATTATCACGGCAACAATGAATGATAATGGTAAAAATAATGTGTCTCTCGCGGCGACGACGACAACGGTTAGTAAATATCATAAGATGGAAAAAATAAAAATAAAAAGTTTACATAATTGATTTTTCCCCAACAACAATAATTCGTAAAATGTTACATTATACGGTCCTCAAAGGTGTCGTGTTGATGAATAACTCAATGCACATTTGAGCTGTCACTTCTTTGAATAAAGAGGTTGTGAGAGGAAGAGGAATTTCCCGTTGACCGTCAAATTGATCATAATATATCAGTGTGTGTGTGTGAGACAACGACTAGACTGGGCGGACACGTGTGTGAGCGGTTAAGCTTTCAAAATAAATTTTTCGTATATTCTGAATATACAAATATTGTTTAAATTTTCATTACACATCTGTTTAAACCTAAAACACATGCACCGTACGACCGTTGCCTGGCTGTAAAATGACCATGAGGACCGTAGGGTTTCCCTTGTTAAACGGGAATGCATTTTTTTAATCGTGACCAAGCACAATTTAATCATTAAAACAATTTTTTTTTACGACCAATACAGCGTAACATTGCCTTTGTCGTTATAAAATCATTTACGGTGCACCGTGGCAGTGACGAAATTACTATAACACAAAGAGAGCACACAACACACTTTGTATCATTCCTCATTAGCGTGTGCATTTAGACATTATAAACTTCTGGTATTAATGTTATAGATTACTTTATATTGCGATAAATTTAAACAAATTTAAAACGATTTTACAAAAAGCGAGTCTAATGTTAACGACAGACAGTAGTCGTTCGTCACTGAATCAATAAAAATATCTTCTAAAAAACAAACGATTTATCAAATATCGGTCAATTTCGTTATCAATGGTTTGTCGTGTTGTCGATTTTTTTTAACTAGAAGAGTAAACAGTAAAAAAAATACATAGAGTACATGTAAATCTACCAATTCATGATAAACTCTTAAATGTACAAACACTTAAATTTTGCCCACTTACAACAAGCGATAACGTGATATCTATAACAGTTATGTACATAGAACTGTTCAAATCAAATCCAACCAAATATACGCGAGTCCTATTCAATAAACAAATCACTCTAGTTCTAATGATGAGGATAAATAGTCAGAGCCAATAAACTTATTTAATTATAATATGTCGTCCGTCTAAAAGAAGTTTTTCGATGTGGTCTCGTGCAACTAGTAATTATTGCATAATAGAATATTTTTATTTCATTAGCAGATTAAAAATATTTCGATTTCTTGCGTTTAATTAGAGCAAACACTCATTTCTTGCCAACATGAACTTTTTCTAGTTCATTAATGATTTGCAGCTCTCATTAATAATCCGACGACATGACGTTGGCTTTACATTTTAACAAGTTCTAAATAAATCTGTCAGCTATTGCTCTTTTAAACGTGCGGAAACCATAACCGAAGTCACGCGTGCATTGTGGTGAACATTAGAATGTTTAAACGATATGGAAAAAAAAAGTCGTGGTAATGTCCCACGCGCACACAAACATATTATCATAGCCTGACAGTATGAGAATGTGTACAGAGTGTAAACGGTCGTCGAGGCGCTAATTGCCGTTTTTAACTACTTCTTCCCCCTCAATGCAAAACGATAAGGAGGAGTGGACGAAGGTAGGGGGAATACGCAAACCGCAACAGGCGTGTTTCCTTCTAGACCACCGCAAAGAAAATATACCCTTTCCTCTCACCCACACCACCAACGGTTCTTTTTCGCCCACGTGCATTGACCGTACTCGATTGTATAGAGCACATTCAGTCACGATTACCAACGCCGACAAACACCAATGGATACATTTTGTACTGTATCATCTAGTATGTATTACAAGACAACTTACTGAGTATATATTTTTTTTTTTAATACGGTATGTGGTTATATTTTTCAAAAAAAAAATCGCTTGTTATACCTGTCTAATAGACGCCAAGTTCGTATTAAACTATCAGTATTAATTAATCTCCTTATGAGAATTTGTTTTTTATATAATATTTGCTTAGTATAGTTATGTAGGTTTTATAATGATTGGAAAGTTTTTGTGTGCGTAGTTAGTTGTTATTATGATTGAGACTACCTTACAGAGAATAGACCACTGGTTCATAAAATGATCATAAATGCTCAGTGTATAAACCGAGGATACCGAAAAAGAATCGTAAAAATCATATTTTAAGTGTTATTAGCTATTAACAACCGTACATATATATATATATATATATATATCTTACTCTTTATTTGATTCATATATTTTTTAATTTTCCAAATAAAATTATAAAATGTACTAAAATTACATTCCGATATGTGTTAACATGTTTTATTGATCGATTGCTCATCAAATATGTTTATAACGCCTAGAACCAGGGTTATAAAACTTTATGTGTGTTACACGACCTAATAATAAATAGATATTTTTTTAACATCTAATGGTTTTCAATATTGAAGAATTAAGTCATCCTATTATACGTAGAATATTTTAATTTATGCGTTCAATATTATAATTGAGATAGCTATCATAACATCTAAAAAATGATGTTGGTTATATTTCAAGTAAAACTAGATTCATCTGGTCATAAAACACATAATACATTGGTGATAAAATATAGTAATAAGTAAGAGTATACTCGTTTAAATGTGGTTTAAACGTAGAACAAAGAGGAAACGCAATCGACCGGGGAATTTCTCTCCAAATACGTTCAACACAACACTACTAAACAGGTGGGAGCTGAAGAAGGGGAGACAAGTCGTGGTTTTTTGTATTTATAAAGTCTTAAGTCGCGTTTACACATATACACAGTAGCCGCTTAGCCCGAAGGCCGACGACCGACCACAGGTTTTCCTCTCTCAATAATTATTATTACTATCGCGCGGTTATGTACCGGACCGGTTTTGTCGACAGTCTGCGGGCCACACCTATAAAAATTCCCTCTTTTTTTTTTTTTTTTTTTGTTCTACACGACGTCCGCCGTCGCTTCGTGTGTGCGTGTGGAAAACAGATAATAATAAACATAATATACCTATGTGTCTCTTTTTATCGGATTTAAAACTCGTTCATGTAGATTTAGTTGCCTATTACCATCACATATACCCATTCAGAGACCGGTATACAGCGGCGGCGGCGGCAACCAACGTTCAGTAATATTATTATACCCGTGGTCATCCGATAGCGTGAAACACGAGTCCGTCGCGCGTTTACCATTAAGTCAAAGAATCGCTGTAGTCATTATAAAACACAAAAAAAAAAAATAAAAGAACAAGCCGGTTATACGTGCTACAACGACAGACTAGAGGCAAATACCGCGATACTCGTGCACGGCGATCACCTCCTAATATACTTATAGGGTATAATAATAATAATTGTTAACGTACTGCCATGGGATAATAACGAGGGACGTGACTTAATGATACCCCACCAAAAAAATACCAATACAATACTACATTATACGTACCCAAATAACATAACGACCGACTAATCCGGACGTCTTACTCGTTAAGGGGGAGAGAGACGGTTATTATTATATTTAGAAATCGGCAGCGGTGGCAGGTGAGTTGGGGTTAAAGAGACCGGGTAAGAATAAAAAAGAAAAGGACAAAAGGTTTTATTTTTTTGCCAATGATTGTTGTCTCCCCTATGTCGTTCCGCACGTTTACACAACCTCAAAAGATCTTTCCTTTATATAATCTTCTTCGGAGTAAAGCCTTGTCGTTCGCTTTGAATAGGAAAGGGAAATCAGTTATTTTTTTCTTCGCAAATAAACGGTAACCGTAAACCGAAAAGAACACGTCGTTGCCAATTCGAACGCGATAACAAGTCCAATGGTGTGGTGGTGTGTGGTCTCCATGAGCGAATACTATGTCCGGCACACAATGTCTGGTGGTCAGCTACAGTCGCGTTCATAAAACACACGGGACATGTTGAAAAACAAAGATTTCACGGCGGCAGCAGCAGCTGCAGCCTGTTGCTGCCGGCACCACAATATACACTTGCGGCGCATGCATTGAAAAATAATTGGAGATATCCCGGACAGATATTATCTACGGCCGGCGGTATGCATAATTTATTGTATACATGCGTTGAAAATTCCTAGCCGTTCGCGTGACGAACAACACTGATGCGTGTCGGTGAACCGCCAGAAGAGAAGGACGGGGACAAGGTGCCGTCGTGTGTTTGCACGTGTGGGCGAGGTGGAGGACGCGTTAAAAACGAGGGGTCCCCCGGGTTTATTATAACGCGAGTAGACGTCGCGATAATAACGCACACAATCGTACCGAGCGCGCGTCCCCTCTAATGTATTACCGCCGTTTACCCGAAGAGGCGAAGTCAAGTGCCGGTCCGGGGGGAATGTTGCACGCGGTAGGGGAACGCGTCGAGGCGGGGGAGCGAAGGATTTACGATTGATTTATTTCGTACACTGCGTGTGATCAAATCGAACGATTTGACACGAAACGTCAACAGACCGCCGCTGTGGTTAAACGAACTCGGTAGCATAGCGGTCATGCAGTAGTGTAGTAGAGAAGCGAAGAAAACAGGGCGTCGCTCAAAAGGGGAAGTTGGTAAGATCGCCGGACAGCCGCCGCCGGTTCACTGTACTCTTAAATGTATTTCTATTTGCGAACCGTGACAGTCGCTCCCTTCGATCATCATCTCCCATTTAACCGAATGTAGTAAAAAAAAAATAACATTTCTCCCGCAATAAATTACCGTGAGAAATGACCATTTGAATGGAAAATCATCTTTATAAGTATAGACAAGGCACATTTAAGTAACTAGACATTAACTACCGCCGTATGGTTAGAGTGAGATCAGTTGCGTCACAAATAGACGGTTTATGTACAGTAATCATTAATTTGACGGTAAATTTTAACAAAAAAAAAAAAAATTATAATAACGAAAGAAAAACTAGGCGCTGCAGAGGGAGCGGACGACAGTTTGATACGGTCTTCAGACCAATGGATCGAAACGGATCCACGGTATAATTAACTGTGTAAAAGTTCACAACCCGTAACGGACTCTGGTAATGAACCCTGCAATTCTTCTTTTTCTACTATTCTATCGTTTTAAACATATTTTCCTACGAATTCGTTTTTTCAATAAGAAACGAGAGTAAACAGTCATGCAGTCGCCAACCAATTACATTCTTTATACACACGCGCACAAATAACAGGAAGGAAACACACATCAGTACGAAATCCTAGAGAGAAAATTATACAATTATTTACATAAGCAGCGACGGTTAGATTTCGCCTCTTTGGGTACACACTTTGGACAACAAGCCGCCGCAAAGCAAACACTGCCGCATTAGACGAGTTAATCGCAATATACTATTTAACAAGGGTCGTGCAACGCGAATAACTCTCGGGTTTATAATTAAATTGAATTTCAATTCTTTGTGCGTGTTGTTATTATCGCGGACAAATGTGTCTCCTNTTCTTTGTGCGTGTTGTTATTATCGCGGACAAATGTTAACTGCTCTTTGACGATGTGTCCAAACGGCGGCAGCAAATTAACGGCATCGGGACCACGCGATTGCACTTGGTTCGAAAATGTGGCCCTAGACCGAACAACGGTAACGCATCGATACCATCTATTATAAATTATATTATTAAAGTAGGTATGTACAGCGCTACGACTACCGGCGGCGTCTCCGTTTCACACCGCCCCGTCACTCCGCCTAACACCGAGGACGGCGTGCGCGTTGAAAAACCGGTAAATTTTCGAATCGTATACGAGCATGTATTTATGTGTGTGTGCACACATTTCTCAAAACTTTACGACGCCTCTCTGACCTTACACCGTGTTAGGTCGCTCCTGTATAGATGTACACGGCAGTATGTGTGACGGTGTTGTCACGACTATAATTAGAGGCGGTGGTCGCAGAGAGCAAACGACTCGACGAAAAACGCTCGCATTCAAACACAATATTATAAAAGTCGTTAAACGCTCGTTCACCGCTCCTACCACCACCTCGTCTCGTATACCTTTGGCAAACACTTATAAAGACTCGGCAAAGGGCACGTCGAGTACCGTCCGATTTAAAAATAATAATAATAACGTAAATACACCCTACGCATTTAAGTATCTTATAAAAAAAACCAACTTGAATTTTTAGTGGTTATTTCTTCTCTCTCCACACGGCCCGTATCCTAACCGGATTTATGTTACTTTATTTATTAGGAAATGTCGGCGGTATTCACGGTGTATACTAGGTAGTAGGTACAACGCCCATAGAGCATCATTATTGTTGTACTAGACGGGCACACGTTTTATTACAAATTCAACGTACGCAGCACCTCCGGGGGGTGCCATTGTGTACGCGCCGGGTTCGCACGAGAAACCGGTGTGGGGTCCTCCGGCTTGGTCTTCGATCTGGAGGGTTAGCGGGCGGTCCGGTGCAAGGGCGGCAGTGGTGCCCAAACGGCGTCGGCGGCCGTTAAAATTCCAATTTAAAAAAAAATATACATGTATCGTACAACAAGCCGGTCCGAGCAATCACTAATAGCACTCGACCGAGTCTATACACTCAATAATAACAATGTACGTATATATCTATGTGTAACCCAACGACAATGTACCGAGTCCGTTATCTAAATAACCGTGGAAATGTGCCAACGGTTCAAAGGTCTACATTTACGACGTATAACTGCAGTCAGTAAAGCGCGTTTACCGCGTGTTAAATATCATGAATATTATCGAAAATATAACAATGTTATCCGCAAAGGATTCACGAGCAATTATCTATCGGCCGTGTTAATCTAAATATTAAAATATCACCGAGAACACTTACCGGGTGCCGGGCAGCGGCCGCTACAGCTGCTGCGTTCATCGTGGCTGCGGCGTACATGATACGTTAGCAGCAGCTCATGGCCGCCAAAATCAAAAAACGTCACTCGACCTGTTCAACCACAACGATCGTCGTTAATAATAACGATAACACCAATAACAATGTAGGATATTATGGTCAACACTTAAAAAACCGTTGTCAAAAGCGACGATAATTAAAATATTAACAAAATTATATTAAAGCAATTTCGTTAGCGGTGGCGTCGACGGTCACTAATGAGTGGGACACAAACGAAAAAAAAATTTTAAATATAATTAAACAATATTTATTTAACGAACACGCACACACAAAACTGTAATCCCACACACACGAGCCGCTGTTAATAATACACGCACACGAACTTTTGAATGAGTAATAAAACAATTTTCAACACCGGCGGCTCCGCACAACGTGTAAGCACTCAGCGAAGACCAACAGTATACTGAAGAGGAGTCGTCGACTGCGAGCCGGTGTGTGAACACGGACGCCCCGCTCCTCTTCACCCGGCGCGCACACAAATACACACACACACACTAGTATGATGGTTCTCCCCCCGCCGCTCGCCCGTTCATCAGTCCGCCGCCGACCGGCAGTAAACAAAACGATCGCCTGAACCATGAGGCTGGGCCGGAGGATGTAGCGGGGTGGTGTGACCGCGGTGGTGTCCGTGGCGGGGTGAGTTGCGCAGGGGTCCAGAAAAAATCGAACCTAAAACCCATGGAAGACGTGTACACGATGTGTGTGTGTATACAGAGGGGTCGGGGAACATTGAAAAAAGACCTTTTCACAAAATGGCCGCCCACTCTTTACACTAGAGCAAAAACCCTCTTGCTTCTTTTTCCAATAACACAAAAGGTCTCTTCAATTTTATTCTTTTTTTCCCTCTCTTACTCACCCTTTAACGTTCTCCTATCCTTTCCGCACTCCACCCGTCGCGGCGGATCACAAGGGTTTGTGAAAAGTTCCCCCTCGCCGCCACACACAAGTTCATCCGCACACACCTTCCCCTCCGTTCCGCCATGTCACTCCACTGATTTCATCGTTCCCCTCGCAAAGCTCTCCGGTAGTTTGCACAAATATGGCAGCCGCATTCGAGCCATCTACCACCCTCGCATCCTTACAACCACATCGGCTGTTTGGTCCCTTCTGATTACCAGTATCGCTCCGCCAGCCCCCTAGCAAAACCCCAACACGCAAGCGGGCCCGTACGGTTTTTTTTTCACGTTCACCAGCGACTGCTCCACGTGGAGCACATACACACCTCGGCCAATGCAGGCGGCAGTCGGCAATGAGCTGTCAACGAATCGTATAGCGGCATCGCCCAATCGCGTGCCGTCTACCGCAACATCGTCGCGTAGCAACCGGTCGGCTCCACGTGGAGCACTCAGATCCCAGGGAATATTAAAAATTTAAAAGGAAAAATGTTTTTTTTTTTCACAACGACGACAGTGATGACGTTGCGGAGGGGAAGGGTAAAAATAACCAAAAAAAAAATAAAAATAAAAATACTTCTACCTGTTTTTTTTTTCTGATCGCGCGTTTCAACCTTTTTTTCCTGTCCGGGACACACACAGACACAATTGGATTATCTTTTATCTATGTATATTATAATGTGTGTGTGTGTTTCTACCCAAGTGTGACAAACTGTGTTTTGTTTCAAACGTCGTCGATAACAATATATTATTATAACAATAATACAATTTATATTATTAAAAAAAAAAAAAAACCGACATAATATTTTTATTGCAACTTTATTTATTGTATCAGATGTCATTTGATGACGATAACAAAATAAACGCTTCGTGTTGTTTCATCATTAAGGGTAAACACAAAACCACTAGTATGATAATATTTTTTACAGTGCCCTCGGTTTTAATAATGTGATTCAATCGGCGCTTATAATAAAATTAATGATGAAAAACAACGGCACCCGTCTAATAGGATCCTTGGACTGTTATTTAATTTTCTGATTTTTTTTTTATCGTACACATTTTTTTTTTTTTGTCCGCATGAGCTTCACGGTACACGATAATGGTATTATCGTAATATAGCAGTCGTGCCGGAACGAAGGCAAAGCCGTTCGATGAAACTATGATGATGATATGAACATGTGCCAGCTGTAAATATTCAATAATATAATAGGACAGAGCAGCATTGGAAAAACGAATACATATAAAAAATAACCTCAAGACAATTTGGACCAAGTATATTATACTGTGCTACGTATTTTATATACTCGGCATAAAAAAAGAAGAATTTTAAACAACTTGTGTACATAAATCGTTTTGTTATCGATTTACATTTAAATATATATTTGCCTCTTCAACGCTTTGTCTTTAGGATTGTATACACGTATATATATAAATGTAACGTCGCTCCGACTCGTTTACACAATGCAAACAACAAACATACATATACACGGCCGCTATGGAATAACATATAAAACAGTTATCGGCTAAGCAAATAATACGAACACGCATATAAATTCGCTAGGAAACAACAATAATAATAATAACAATAATAATAGTAAACGTGGAACCGCCTAATTGTGTTTATATATATGTTATATATATCACATACCTCGTACTAATAGCCTAATAAACATATTGCTACTGAAACCCCTTCAACACAAAAGTTTTACATTTACATGTAATATTATTATTGCAGTCGACTACGTTTTGTAATATAAAGCGACAGATTTAACCAGTGTGCCGCTGAAAACACTGGATAAATTGCCCGCTTTTTATATAAATATTTGTTTTAATCTAAAAAATGATATTGAAGCATAGGCGCAATTGGAAAAAGGGACAAGAGAGAGAGAGAGAGAGAGAGATCCCCTAGGCTCCAAGGTGAATACCTTGGGAATAGTATTTAAATCTTTATCTAACCCAAAAATATGATTAATGAATCTAAATCACGTAATTTATATAGTTTTGAATACTTGAGAATTTTCATGGATGTACATTCATTCTAAATACCAACATTTGAATGTAAAAATTAATTTATCGAGTATAAGTATTCGATGTTTTTGCAATTTATTACATATTCAGGATTACTTTCCACAATAAAAAAGAATTTTACAATATAAAATGTTAGTATTTAAAATGTTTGGGCATCAACATTAATTCTCTTGAGCTGAGTATTTTATTTAATAATTTTAATTAAAAATAGTTTTTAGATTTGTTATGATAATTTTAAAAAGTATTCCTAGAGGTAACCGAAAAAGTATTCTACCCAAATATGCTAAATATTCAGAAACTTTTTTATACTGTAATATGAAAATATTTTTTAGTATGAGTAAAAATATATTTGGCCTCCAACAATATTAACCTAGTTGTATTATAGCGTTCCATTATAATTGTCTTCTTTATTACTAAAAATTTTTATTTTAAATTAAAATAATCTAGCAATATAATTATGTTGTTATTTATAACTCATTTGTTTTCTGCCCGACTTTCGAATCACAAAATTATCTACTACAGTATTCAATATCATTTTCTTCTCTAGTTATTAAAATATATATAACCCTAACGATGATCTAAAAGCGTATTACAATAATTAGTTGTATTTCTTTCAGTTACGGTTTTTATGAAACAAAAATTTAACATTAAAAATTATATTTTGTCCTTGAGATTTAGGCGTTCTTAAAAAATTGCTACCTTAAGTACTAAGCTCATTGCGTTTACTGAGAAATTTTGCACTGGTAACATCTAACAATTGTGTTTATAGAAAATTGATACTCTTACTAAAAATTTAAAGGTTTCTACCTGACATAAAAATTTGTTCAAGCCATGGGTTGGGTTGGGTTGGGTTAATTCAAATATAATTCTAATAATTCAGGCAGAATTTTCAACGTGTATTTGTCCTTTTTCTTGTGATTTCCCCAACGATTATTCCACTAAAGCGCTAAAATACTATACATTAACAAACGCTGCATACATTACAACAGAAGTTTCTATTCACGAATCTTGTACATATATATATATATACACACACATTTATCTCTTATTAATATAACCGTAATATAAGGCCGTACATAACGCCCCACAGGAGGATCATTGCCGTCAAGACACGTGTAATGTTCACAACGTCGACAGCCAAATCGTCCCCTCGTGTGTATGAACGCACCGAGTATTATAATGACCTACGGGTAAAGTGGCACCCTCTTCGTCATTATATCATAAACCGACGCCCACAGAAATCCTCTGCCGCGCACCACTCTCGCATCACTAACCCCGTGTACTCTAAATTCTTGTGTACCAACACACGCCGTCTCATCTTTCGTGCACATAAACCGTAATAGTTAGTCCGCTAGACGATGACAACGACCGAATCGATAACCCTATTCACGGGCATGTTTTAAAATAGATATGCGTTTAACACGAGAACGTACACACTACGGGCGACCGTGTGCCCTCGTAGGGATATTTAACTTGTGTTTTATTATAATCGGATTGTCGGCGCGAGGGCCAATTTTTTATCCCTCTGTTGTGTAACGTTAATCCGTTTTTTATTAATTTATTTTATGCGCTTCGTCTATACGACATAATACAGCTAAAACGCTCCACCATCCGTGATAGCAAATTTCCTAGCGGCAAAAAAACTTTAGCGTTTTTAATTTCCGCGCGCCTAATGGATTGGATCGGTTCACCTCCTCTCCGTGTGTTCATCGCGAATAATAATTTTTTCTCCCCCTCGGGGCACGTTCGCTGTTCGGCTGCCTCGACCCTCGTCCCGAAAGTCGTTTATTAGATAAATTATCAGAAACGCCGTAAGTACTTGATGCTACACTCGTGTATTTATATAAATATAATACGTACCGACCGGTGTAGACGAGTCAAAAACTTTGTAGGAGATATAATCGCAAGAACTTTATTGTGCACGCCAATGAAAGAGGCGGCGTTACGGTTAAAGTGGTGTAGCTGATGGCAAAATGTATGTGTCTATTGTATACCTATATACGTACAAGGCAACATTCTCTGGGTTGTTGCGTTTCGTTCGTGTGTAGATTTGTGTAAATGTGTGTGTATCCAAGTATTGAATTCGACCCTCTCTATCTTTTAACGCGGCGTCGACACGATACAAACTGCGGAAAAGAACAAGGCGAGAGAGAAAAAAAAAAAAAGGAAGAGCGGAACGAACCAAGCGACGAAGACGTCTAAAGCTTCGGGCGTCGCCCAATTACTTTCAACTTTACACCACCCGACCCGTTGCCCCCGCGCGCAGAGCTGTCACCCTCGTACCACTTTTGCCATTACGCTCTCAATCCCCTTGTATTTTACGCGCACTCACAAAGAACGGACGAGTGGCTTTAACGACTCGGAAACAGCGAAATAATTAAAAAGAAAACTACTCAATACATAATGGACTCGAACGGATCATTATAATTTTGTTATTTTTCGCTCGTTTATACGACAATAACGTCAGGACGCACAGTCGCCAGCCAGTAAATG